TCTTATATTATTTAACAAGTAAAATTTCTGAACAGTTTATGAAATGAAACTCTTGGTGTGTATGTTCTCTCAATTTTTCTTTGGTTTTTTCAAATCAAATTTTTTCTTTATTCCTAAGGGTTTGTAATTTACTCAAATTTTGAAAGTCTTTCATCTTTTCTCTTTTAATGTTCCAACAATTTATTCTTAACAGTATTTTTTTCTTCTGCAATAATTTGTTTGTTTCTTATATCTGTGTCTTCTGTTTGATCCCAATCATTTGGTGTCCTTGATATTTATACTACTATACGCTCTCTCTCTGCCCTTCATTTACACTCAGACATTTTTTTGTCTGAACAAATACAAGAGACTGACTTTTTACTGCGTGCTACTTCTTACTTCATCTAAGTATCTTGAAACAATAATCCACCTAAGAACTATTGATGTGTGCTCGTTAGCTGCACACTCTCTCTCTCATGTATATATAACTCATAAGGAAATGAAACTTTAGAGAAAGGTTTATAGGATACAATATTAAAAGATGTATTCAACATATGCTAAAGGAGAATTGAATGGACGCATTAGCAAATCCAGTCGAGTGGACCATGAGGCTTACGTCAGGGCCCATGACAGGCCTGTGCATTCTGGAAAAGAGCCAGGACAGGAAATTAGAGGTTATGTTTTATGTTCAAATAAATACGTTTTTGTGAGTCCACTTGTAATTAGGGACACATTTCGCTCTCGCGCGCTTTGCGTGCTTTTTGTTTTGTTTACAGCCTGGGTTCCTCTGTTCTTCAGCTACACCACCTGATCGATAGAACAATATACATTACTTTTGCGCAAATCACATTGTTGACAAAATATGTACTCAACGGAATATAGAGAAATGAAAATTACAAGTAGATTTAAAACGTTCTTCTTCTTCATCAGTAAGAAATAAAAAGAGGATATAAAATTGTATTATTTTAAATACCTTCTGTGTTCACAGTCGATTAATGAACATTGATTGCCTTTGGTCTTTTGGATTCTTTTCTTCGTCGACTTGGGTTTCCGTTCTTTTTAGGTAGACCATGAATGACCTGTTGAATATTACAATTTTCAGTGATGTTCTTGTGAGGAAATAAGAAGATACCATTTGTCTGGGAATTCAAAAAAAAATTTTCCAAAGCAGTGTGCAGTCTTGTAATTATTAATTCGCATTTCCTGGAAATTTCCGTTTCTCCCCAAGTGATAAAGTGTTGTCACAATAAATATCTTGATTGTTGTTGACTAGAGTTTGTCTGTAGTTGTTAATAGCAGTTATCTCGCAGTGAATACGAGGCAAATAGCGCAAGTTGGACTAAAGTGTTGTCTTTTAATTTGGTAATAGCAGTATCTACAGTGAAGCAGAAGGTAGCAGCGCAAACTGTATCTTCCTGTGCTCGCTTGTGGAGTAACATATAAATCTATAGCCCTATTCGATATTCGTGTTTACATCGCTTCTCCTGTAAATACAGTAATGATTTTGTAGCTTGCTCGGCGACATAGACGCTATCTCGAGTGCAAACCCTCTTTAATTATCTATTATCGTCATAGCAAACTCTAAATTGCTTAATGGCTGAGGGATAGTAATTACCATCGGGCTTTATAGTGTATTTAGACAAGTTAGCAAAATTGAGATTCGCTAATAGCTAAATTTCATTATTTTATACACAATCCCATTTTTTGCACAAACTATTCTTGCCTCTTGAAAAAGATACGAGAACTCGGCCTTCAAAAGTTGCTTACCGATACCTGCACATACATGTTCTTTAAACTGGAGCCAAAAATCTCTAGTTTTTAATATCTCGTTGCCTAACCTTCTCTTCTGTTCGAAGATATTCTTATAATATCTTTCAAATTTTTTATAGTAAAACTATGGGGATATGAGAATCTGAGCCTCAGAAATCTTATACTTCTCCCCTGTATGTGACATACAGCTTTTCCCTTATATGTTAGCATACAAAATTTTTTTTTGCTATTCTTTGAGCAAAAAGTAAATTCAAATAAAAGAAAAATTCAAAAACCCAATTTCATGAAATCAATTGCATGGGACAACAGTTGAAAAACAGGATTTTTCCCAATTTTCTTTATTGGCAAACTGTACATGGAAATAAACAAAACTAGTTGGACAGAAGTTTTTTATTAGTCCGATTTTAGGCAGTAATGGCTTGATATGGGTTACAACAAAATAAATACAAAATTTGTTGATTTAATAACATGTAATATTTCTTCTTGTTCCAAAAACCTGAGTGAAATTAATCTGATTTGCTGAGCACCATGACAAATTCATTATTCATAAGAATCATGGTCATGTGTAGGTTAAGTAGGTTACCGTAACATTTCCATATGAAGTATTATTAACTTTCTTGGATTGTTCTGATGCAATAATTAACACATAAATGGTTTGCATTGACTTCACTGTGTTTCAATGAGTGTGAATAATGGATGAACTTTAAAATTTGGCAGTTGTCCTCCTTTTAATTAAGAAGGTGCATTTGGTTTAGTATAATTAAACTATTAATGTTGCCAAATCTCAAAATTAGGTAGAAAATCACATTTCAAATAACTCCATTTCCAAGTCATCATGTTACTTGATTGCTATTACCACGATGTAGAAAAGGATCTTGCTGCCGTATCATTGGGGCAAACTTAATTATTTTGGCTAAATTTCTACTTAAACCATTAAAAGCATTTTCCAATGTCAGCAAGGGGTGGAAGATGTGACGAGGACATGGTCATCACAATAGAGAGTTCCAAAATTTCGTAAGCATCATGGAAGCTCAAGATTGGATCACTGTTTCCATCTTCTCCATTCCAGCTTGTGTCCTTGAAGTGTTCACTTGTGTTTAAATCGAAGTATAACCACATACTCACTGTCAATTATTCTTGGTTCACCTATGCTCCAAATATTCATATGTCCAATATTGATTGTGTCAATACATAATGCAATGTGTGTCAGTAGTACATTAAAATGTGAATGAAGAGAAAGTCAAAGCAATCGTGCGCCGGAAAACGGCGAATTCGGCAGAAAAAACTCCTATTGTCAGCGCCTGGTAATGAAAAATTTTGGATGAATCCAGACGCTAAATTATAGAACTTAAAATTCCTCTTATAACGTGGTTTTTTAACAGGAATCCACTTTTTCTGTGGGGCCGCTGATAACCGAAAAATCGATTGACGGACAAAAACGTTCTCGCGTAAACGGTCTGGTGGTTCAACGTTAGCCGCCTAGAACCTTTTAACAGATTTCTCCAAAAGTACTACTCCTCTATCGATTTTGAATGGGGACCTCTTAGGGCTTTGGAAGTTTTGGAAAACGGATATATTGATTTTTGAGCGGCACCTTTTAACTTGAAGGGGCATTTACCGTTTTTAAAAGGTCGCGGACATGGTCCATACGGTGCTTCTGTGCGGTATGAACGACGGCGAGTTACTACAGAGGATTCAGAGTGTCGGGTTCTCGTAGCCAGAAATTTGGTTGTGTCATGTTTTAGCTAATAATAGTAGGCGGACAGTTAGAACTATAATGCGAAGATGTGCTTTGGGAAGACACACAACCTAGGTTTTAAATTTGTGTTACAACCATTGGACCCATGTTCACAGTATGTAGCATGGGGTATTTCTTTCAACAGGTCTCAATTCTCTAATCAGTTCTGTACTGGCCCCTTCTCCTTAAGCCAAAGCACACATTAAAAATGTAATACTTCAAAACATTATTGGAGGCATGTTTGTTCTGGATGAGAAGCCTTTTACACCACACACAAAGAAAATCATGCTACTTCATTCTCTATCGATCCCACTGTAAATTTGGATGTGTTTCATTGATTAGTTCCGGTCTGAAGTTCAGTTGAACTACTTAATTTAAAACACTGGTCTGGGCGTCATTTTCAGGTGTTCTGTAAATGGTTTTAGTTTGTTTTTTGTATTCTGTTTTTCGCCACCAATTTCCAAAATCACAATTCGGTCATTTCCGTTATGCAGGCTCAGTTTTTTTCTCTAAACAAGCTTATATGAATTTTCAACATTGTAGGTCTTTATTAGATTTTAACTCTCTCTTCTTCAGGGGTAGGTTTAGCTGTTCCTCCGGCGACGACGAACAAAGGGACCGCAGCAAGTATATCACCGCGACCGGCAGCGCAGTAGGAATACCTTTGAAGCTGTCAACTGCTAGCGGTGGCGCGTATGCCCCTCTGCGCTTCCCGTAGCGAGAGTCCGACGCCGAACGCCGAAGCGACGCAACCGCAAAGGGGAAGATCCCCATTCAAACCCATGCTCTGCTACGAGCCGCGATGTTTGGAAGCGCGCAGCGGCGGCCACGTGAGAAGGGGCCCAAATCTGTGTTCTGCTAGCGGTGGCTGGAACGCTCTCCTGCGCTTCTCGTAGTGATGGCGCAAACTCGCCGCACGTGGGAAGATCTCCATATTATATCGTCTTTAGCTCCATTTTCGAAACAAAATAGTTTTTATTTCACGAAAGGGAGCATTTCTGTTTTTCAGATTTTGGCAGCATTGCTCCTTGCTATCATTTATTTTGAATTGAATTTGAATTTTGAATACAACTAATGTTAATATAGAAGTGGGGATAGATATTCCGGGGCTCAAGCAAATGTTCGCGTATAATAATACTCGTAGTTTTTCATGGCCAAATAATAAGAGACAGTTCTTAAACCAAAATGCTAAATTACAGTTGCTATAACCGTGTGTACCTTAATAAGAACAATAGTTACAGAGAAATTTACAAATAGCTTCAATTATGAGAAAAACCTTCCTCTACTTCTCAGTAAAAAATTAATAACTGTCTGATAAATAGAATGCTGACTGTTACCACTGTCTGCTCAGGCCTATCTTAACAGTGTTACTTAAAAGGACACAGTAGAAGATACATTTATCTATTTTATGTTCCTTTACTCCTTTACAATACTCTCCTTTCCTTTGTTGTTCCCCCAATTCTTTAGTATTTAAATTGCAGGGACCAAGAAAAACAAGTTTCGAAATTTTTATTTTATTGACAAAATAAAACAAAATGAAATGAAGCACGTGAGACAAATTTAACAAGAAGCACATGTGAGATAAATTACATGAGATAAAGCACTTGTCATAATGCACCTGTGAGTGAAAGTCCAGGTGACCAAAAACACTTCTTCAGAAATCTCATGCAACAAAAACAAATTGTACAAAAACATACCAGAAATCATGTTATAGTTCCTTGAAAACCTCTTGAACCATTCTAAAAAACAACACTTGGTCTCTGAAAAGAAAGTGGAAAGTTTTTTTTTTAGAGGTATGCTACTGATGATAATTTTCTTTAATGTAAACAGTAAGATGTGCAAGTTTTTCGTATCTTTGCAACTTTCTTTACAAGAGAGTTTTATTTGAAGACAAACTCACCAGTTCAAATTTTTTTTGTTTTCTTTGGAAACCATATTTGCTTCAAAAAAATTTACTGAACGACCAGTAAGCTGTTCCACCATTTGTAATACTCTGGTGCATTTCCTGATGTTGTCATCCATTTTCTTTTTAATAAAATCGGGTATGTGTTCTGAAAGTTGAAATTTAATTTGTTACAAAACTATTGAAGATAAAGAGATTTATCAGAGTACAAATTTTGAAATGACCATAGGATTGGGGAAAGTGAGACTTTAGGGATACTGTACCTGGATTTTAGGAAGATCTAATTTTCCTTGCCTATTAGCAGATTTCACATGCTTTTTAGGTGTAGAATTGAGGTTATGATGCATGGATTGTGGATATTAGCAGTAATGCATGGGAGGTGCTGGGAAATTGTTTGAACAAGAACCATTAACTGCACAAAAGTACATAAGTCAGCAATAAAACTAGTGACATTAATTATGATCGTACCTCTGCTATTGTCTCTACAAAAGTTTGAAGAGTGCATGCTCAGAAGACTAGTTCAGATGAACTACAAGAATTGTGGAGTGTAAATCTTAAAAAAAAGATCCAATTCATTTTCACAAATAAGATAACTAATTACTGAGTGGTCAATAAACTAGAAAGTAAGATACTATGAATACACACAATCAACACAATTATTACACTTGAAGTAATTGAGAAACAAATAATAGCTACTGTGATTTCAATTTTTTTAAACTGGTGTGTTGTCAGACCTGCTTCCTGTAATGAGGAATGCCCTAAAATTAATTTTCAAATTCTGTTCCCCATAGAAATCTTATATTTATGACCATTTTCTTTCAAAAACTTAGCCAATCAAATATTGAAATGGAAAGCATTGATTCAACTCTTTAATCGACTGTGGAATTTACACAGAAATTATTAGTCATTGAAATAATAGTCCCTTTTTAGTTATTTTATTATATCAAAAACAAAACCAAAGGCAAAATTATTTCATCATGGAAAATGATGGCGAAACTATTTCATCAGTGGATGGTGAACGTAGTGAACTCAGGTAAAGTGAACATCTGGTTATAGTGAACCAAAGTCGCTGGTCCAGATACATTTCAAATAAACCCTAGATAATTTGGTTATAGTGAACTCTCCACTTCAGCTATTGTTAACAAAGGAAATACAACTTCCTGCAAAAAGTACTTCACCTCAGGACAGTGGATTCCAATAACACTAAGAGGTTGCAGATGACGGGTCTTGCGAGTTATTTTGTGGAAGTTACAGTGAATGAAAGGGACTGAGGGAACTGCCACTGAGATTGAGGAAATTTTTTTTATGTAGCTCATCTATGGCAATTCTTTCAAGCATGAACCTTTAATAAATGCACACAAGAAAAACAATGAAATCTCATCTGGTTAAGACATCATATATGCTGTGAAAGTGTCTTCCACAAAAGTTGTATGATTACAAAGAGGAAACCAATGAACAAAGTGTTCAAACAGGGCAAGAGTTATTCAAGGGTATCAACAGAGTATTAAAATATTTTGTTTGTGAACACTGAACAATCAAGTGTGGTGAACATACAGACTCTGAAGAAGGAGTTGCCAAAAATTTCAATAAAAAATTGTACCCAACAAACACTAATAAAAATAATTATTACAAGTGTAGTACACGTTCAACATACATTAAAATGTTAAATTTACTGTTTGCATTTTTTACTGGACCTTTATAATAAAATCAATCATCCACGAGAAACGAGATTGTTTTGGCATTATCAGATATAGTGAACCATAAAAGCTAGTCCTCAGAGGTTCAAAAGACTCAGAGTCAGCTATACTACAGCAAGTTGCTTTGAAGTAAAACTATCAAAAATACATTTTCAAAGTTGCTAACAAACAAGATCAATTAATACAGCAAACACCATCAATAGCAACAAGCAGAAACTATTAGTAGCAGACATGTGAGGGGTGATCTTTCAGCTTCATTGTACTTATAGACAATGCAATACATAGGATTAGAAACTGTTATAATTAGGTGTTTATGTTGGAGAACATTCGTGCATTGAGGTATGATACAACGTTAGTACTAGTTTGTAGCTTCGTTATAAATTTATTTTGAAGTGAAAACCTGATCTATTTTCCTTGTAAATCTCCTGCATGTATGTAACAGGATGAAAATCGCTTGAAGAGAGGGAAGAAGGAAGAGAATTTTGAAGGAATATCGTCAGCTGTGTTACATGTACAGGTTGCAGATGTGTCTCCGGGCAGTAGAGTAGAGTAGGGGAGAACTAATGGTACTACTAAACTAATGGTGAACTAACAGCGCATATTTTATCGCATTAATTGTAACGGCTCTGCAATATTATGCTACTAGATGAATCTGCAAAAGTCTTTCCAACCAGCAAACGTTTCTTTCCGTGCCTAGGCTCGAATTCAAATTCATCGAGTTAACTCGCCGTGCACTTTACGGCTATATCACACAGTCGGTCAGACGTGCTCACTTGAGTCAATGTTTAAAAATCTAATTGAATCTCCCACTATTTCCTACTACCATTTTTTGAAAAAAGAGAAGAAATTGAGAAAGTTAAACGAAAATGGGACTTGCACCAAACTGTTCAGAAACCCTTGTTTTATCCATGGAAAAAAAGAAAGAAAGAAAAAAATCGAGCTTTTTTAGATTTTATTTGTATAAATTGCAATCATTTCAAGCTTAAATAACTAATACTTTTATTTTCAAAAAAGAAAAAAAAGTTGTGCGTGATCTTTATTAAAGATTGATTTTTTAGAACAGATTTTATGCAAGGCAAAGAAAAAAATTGGGGTCTCTTTTGAGAAAATAATACAGTCAACTCTATTTATTAGTGAACTCTGTAATAGTGAACTTAAATCACTGGTCCCATTTCACTTAAATTATAAATAAGCATAAGAAGATTCGGTTATAGTGAACATGAACCTGTACATAGTGACAGTAGGAAATGTCCTGGAAATTAATTCCCTCCTCGGCCAGGGCCATTACTAGGGCCAGGCGATACCGGTTTTTCTGTTGAAAATTCGCAGTTTTCCACCGCACGATTACGATACTGATACCTCTTATGCAGTAAGGGCAAGATAGAAAAAAAATATGACATGGATTACCCAAAATATAATGAAAAGACTCCCATGTCCATATTATTTGGTACATTATTTACATGAGCCTCTGATCTTAGACTTGGAGGACATGAGATGAAATAGAAAAGAAATTATGTGAATCAGAATTCACACTTTGTTGTAAATTGTATTATTAATGCACTCTTTGCATAGTATATTGGAAAGGCAACCTTTCAAAAACTATTATATCTTTCTCAAAGAGAAAGACAAAGAAATGATGAGATGAATTGTGAATGATATTGTCATTTAATGTACCTATCAGATATCCTGAATTAAGAATAATTATTCCTCATATTTACTAGTTTCAAAACATTTTTTAAGCATAATACTAAACTTGAAAAAATACAAAACATGAAAATATGTTTAGTGTGATTTCAAGATATAAATAAGACACATGCAGCATGCAATATAACATGCAAACAATATTACATTTTATTTAACATCTTTCCCCGTATTGAAAATTATATCCTTTTGTCAGCATCTACTCAGTGGTCGGCTAATATGGATTTTTTTTTTAACGTTATTAAAATACATATATGAAAGGCCCTTTACTGGGCAACTTATTGCTAGTTTTTGAATTGGATGTAGAGTGTAATTTTTTTTAAAAACAAACTGAATAAGTAAAATGATCTGGCATGTGAAATACCGCTGTTTGACTGTTCCCAGAAGTCGTCAGCTTGGGTATGTTTGTTCTTCTTCTGAATCTGAGTGTTCTGCAGTTTAACTTGAACTTCTTTGTCTCTTTTTGATTGTTTCACTGAATGCTGATTCGAACCTGAAAACAAGGAATTTGTCGTGCAATGAAATTTAACAGAAAATTATAATATAACTATTTCATATACATTATATTTAAATGGGCTCTATAACTTTCAGCTGGTACTGTATAAACTTTCAAACAAAACCAGTCCACTATATAGCCTACTTTCTAGTGATTCCTTCTGAGTCAACTGTACCCTGATTTTGCATATTTCCATATTTTGAACTACAATTAAATTCTGTTATATCAAATAATTTGAAGTGAGATTTTAAAACGGTGCATTGATTTTCGTTTTTTTGCGTAATTATTTGAATATTTTTCTTACATTTTTATAGACACAAAAATTGTAATTTTGATATCCAGATGTCATTAATGTCAACTTTGGGTATGTATACATTTATTGCATGAAATATTTTGGTGTGATCTTTGAAATTTAATATCTTTCGTTATAGAAGAATTTTATTCTAAATGTGTATATGAGCATACGTATGTGCGTGTGTGTTTAATGGTCTTTTAATAGAAAATTATATTTTGAATTAAACAAATTATTGCTAATGTCCAAATATTTAGTTTCAACTGAACTGTTTAAAAAATGTTGTTACTGTTTCCTTATTAAGCTACTTGTCTTTCCTTTTTCTCTTTATTTTCAACTTATTCTATAATTATTTAACAAGTAAATTCTGAACAGTTTATGAAATGAAACTCTTGGTGTGTATGTTCTCTCAATTTTTCTTTGGTTTTTCAAATCAAATTTTTTTCTTTATCCTAAGGGTTTGTAATTTACTCCAAATTTTGAAAGTCTTTCATTCTTTTCTCTTTTAATGTGTTCCAACAATTTATTCTAACAGTATTTTATTTCTTCTGCAATAATTTGTTTGTTTCTTATATCTGTGTCTTCTGTTGATCCAATCATTTGGTGTCCTTGATATTATACTACTTAATCCTTCATTCTTTGCTCATTTACACTCAGAACATTTTTCTAACAAATAAAAGACTGACTTTTTCTGCTTGCTACTTCTTACTTCATCTAAGATCTTGAAAAACAAAATCCAACCTAAAGAAACTATTATTGATGTTAAGGCCACACAATTTCATCATGTTATAACTATAAGAAGAACTTTTAGAGAAAGGTATAGGATACAATATTAAAAGATGTATTCAACATATCTAAAGGAGAGTAAATTTAGCAAATTTCCAGGATCGGGACATGAGGTTACTCAGGCCCATGACAGGCTGTGATTCTTGGAAAGAAGAAGAAGAAATTAAGTTATGTTATTTCAAATACCTTTTGAGTCCACTTGAATTAGGGAACATTGATTGGCTTTGGTCTTTTTGTTTTTTGATCCTGTTACAGCCTGGGTTCCTTTTTCTTCAGTACACCAAACCTGATCTAGAACATCATTACTTTGGAAATACATGTTGCAAAATATGTACTCAACTGAGAATTGAAATGAAAATTTACAAGTAGATTTAAAACGTTCTTCTTCTTCATCAGTAAGAAATAAAAAGAGGATATAAAATTGTATTATTTTAAATACCTTCTGTGTTCACATCGATTAATGAACATTGATTGCCTTTGGTCTTTTGGATTCTTTTTCCTTCGTCGACTTGGGTTTCCTGTTCTTTAGTAGACCATGAATGACCTAGAATATTACAATTTCAGTTATTCTTGTGAGGAAATAAGAAATAACCATTTGTCTGGAATTTCAAAAAAAATTTCAAGCAGTGTGAGTCCTTGTAATTATAATTCGCATTTCCTGAAATTTCCGTTTCTCCCAAGTTATAAAGTGTGTCACAATAAAATATCTTGATTGTGTTGACTAGAGTGTTGTCTTGTAGTTGGTTAATAGCAGTATCTGCAGTGAATAAGAGGCAAAGTAGCGCAAGTTGACTAAAGTGTTGTCTTATAATTGGTTAATAGCAGTATCTACAGTGAAGCAAAGTAGAGCAAATGTTCTTCTGTGCATCACTGTGAAGATTAAATATGTTCGATACAGTTTTAAATCGCTCTCCTGTAAATAAGTGATTTTGTAGCTTATGACTATATCTGATGCAACCCTTTAATTATCTATTATCTCATAGCAACTCTAATTGCTTAATGGTGATGATAGTAATTACATCGGCTTTATAGTGATGACAAGTTAGCAAAATTGAGATTCGCTAATAGTAAATTTCATTAATTTATTACAAAATCCCATTTTTGCACAACTATTCTGCTCTGAAAAGTAGAGAAAATCGGAAGCCTCAAAAGTTGCTTACCATTGCACATACATTTTCTTTAAACTGGGAGCCAAAATCTCTAGTTTTTCTATTGTTGCTAACCTTCTTTTGTTGGTATTTTTATACATCTTTCAAATTTTTATAGTAAAACTATGGGGGATGAGAATCTGGAGCTCAAGAAATCTTATACTTCTCCCCTGTATGTGACATACAGCTTTTCCCTTATATGTAGCATACAAATTTTTTTTGCTATTCTTTGAGCAAAAGTAAATCAAATAAAAGAAAATCAAAACCCAATTCATGAAATCATTGCATGACAACAGTTGAAAAACAGGATTTTTCCCAATTTTCTTTATGCAAACTGTACATGAAATAAACAAACTAGTGGACAGAAGTTTTTTATTAGTCCGATTTAGGCAGTAATGGCTTGATAATGGGTTACACAAAATAAATGACAAAATTTGTGATTTAATAACATGTAATATTTCTCTTGTTCAAAAACCTGAGTGAAATTATCTGTTTGCTGAGCACCATGACAAATTCATATTCATAAGAATCCATGGTCATGTGTATGTGTAAGTAGTTACCTACATTTCCAATATGAGGTATTAACTTTCTTGGGATTGTTCTGATGCAATAATTTACACATAAATGGTTTGCATGACTTCACTGTGTTTCAATGAGTGTGAATAATGGATGAACTTTATTTGGCAGTTGTCCTCCATTTTAATTAAGAAGTGCATTTGGTTTAGTATAATTAACTATTAATGGTTGCCAAATCTCAAAATGGTTAGAAAAACACATTTCAATAACTCCATTTCAAGTCATCATGTTACTTGATTGCTTATACACGATGTAGAAAAGATCTTGCTGCGTATCATTGGCAACTTAAATTATTTTTGGCTAAATTTCTACTTAAACATAAAAGCATTTCAATGTCAGAAGCTGGAAGGTGAGAGGACATGGTCATCCAATAGAGAGTTCCAAAATTTAAGACATAATGGAAGCTCAAGATTGGATCACTGTTTCCATCTCTCCATCCAGCTTGTGTCCTTGAAGTGTCACTGTGTTTAAATCGAAGTATAACCACATACTCACTGTCAATTATTCTTGTTCACCTACTGCTCAAATATTCATATTGTCCAATATTGATTTGTGTCATACATAATGCAATGTGTGTCAGTAGTACATAAAATGTGATGAAGAGAAAGTCAAGCAATCGTGCGCCGGAAAACGGCGAATTTTCGGCAGAAAACTCCTATTGTCAGGCCCTGGTAATGAAAAATGTGGATGAATCCAGACGCTAAATATATAGAACTAAAATTCCTCTTATACGTGGTTTAACCAGAATCCATCTTTTGTGGGGCCGTGATACCGAAAAATCGATTGACGACAAAACGTCTCGGTACGTCTGTGGTCAACGTTAGCGCCTAGACCTTTTAACAGATTTTCTCCAAAATTGATACTCCTCTATCGATTTGAATGGACTCTAGGCTTTGGAAGTTTGAAACGGATATATTGATTTTTGAGGGCACTTTACTTGAAGGGGCATTTACGTTTTTAAAGTCGGACATTGGATCCATACGGGGCTTCTGTGGGTATGAACGACGGCGAGTTACTACAGAGATTCAGAGTTCGGGTTCTCGTAGCAGAAATTTGGTGGTGTATGTTGTAGTATAATATAGCGGGACAGTTAGAAATAATGCGAGAATGTGCTTTTGGAGCCCACCTAGTTTTAAATTGAACTTGTGTACAACCATGTTGACCCATGTTCACAGTATGTACATGGGTATTTCTTCAACAGTCTCAATCTCTAACAGTTTGTACTGGCCCCTTCAAAAGTCTTAAGCCAAAGACACATTAAAAATTGTATACTTCAAACATATGATCATGTGTTCTGATGAGAAGCTACACACACACAAAGAAAATCATGCTACTCATTCTCTATCGATCCCACTGTATATTTGATGTGTTTCATTGATTAGTTCCTCTGAAGTTCATTGAACTACTTAAATTTATAACACTGGTCTGCGTCATTTCAGGTGTCTGTAATGTTTTATTTGTTTTTGTATCTGTTTTTTCGCACCAATTCCAAATCTACAATCGGTATTTCCGTATCAGGTCTAGTTTTTTTCTCTACAAGCTTATATGATTTTTAACATTTGTAGTCTTTATTAGATTTTATTGCTAATACGAAATATTTTTCATTCGTTTTTTTCTTCTTCAGACATTGATTTAATTACTAGAGTTTTATAGTACATCTTAAAGAAAAGTGAAGAATGAATTGAACAAAGGTATTTTTTATGGCCCCCAAATTAGAAGATTAGTTGATGATCCCGAGTTTGAAAAGAGTATAAACGAAATAGAAAGAAAAACTTGGTTTGATTTCACAGTCACTGTGAAACAATTTCTTGGAAAGGAACAAAGTCCCGAATATGAAGCTATCATTCAAAGTCTCTTGAACAGCTTCAAGAACATGGAAGCTCACATGTCTATAAAATTGCATTTTCTGCCTTCACATCTAAATTATTTTTCAGGCAATTTTGAGGATTATAGTGAGGAACGAGGAGAAAGGTTCCACCGGGATGTCAGGATGATGTAAGAGAAGTATCAAGGTCAATGGGACATAATGACTGTCTCAAAAGAGGTGAACCTAGAAGAGCACATAAATAAAAGGTGCTTAACTCATCATTTTTATAAAATGAATTGTCTTATATCAAAAACTTTAAAATATGATAAAGGCAAGGTGAAATAGCTACATTTATTTTAATCATACAAATTTCTTTCTCATGGGCAATACATACTGAAAGGAAGTAAGAAAGTATTAATTTTTCCTCCCTTTTTTTTAAATATAATTTTCTATTAACAAAGATTGCATTGAAACTATCTTGTGTTTTATTCACTTAATACTTAGCTTCATGAAATCTACTGTTGTCTAGTTATTGACCCTATTGACCTGCAGTTGTCTGTTATCTAGTTATTGACCCTCTATAAACAGAAAATGTCCTAGTGGTAAAAACTATGCTTAATAGCCATAGGATCCATAGCGCAAAAACGTGATTAGGAAAACTAATATCAATTTGGAGTTCAGCGTTGTCAATTCTTATAAAAACTGTTGAAAGAATTTAATCATCAATTTCTTTTTTTTAACGCAGGCAAGTATAATGACCAGTGTCAGCTTTTGGTCGAATTTCTCAACTCCTGACTGCATGTCTCCATTTTGGTGTGTTGAGTGTATGTGTGTTTTACTGGAAGTTTATATATAATTATCATTTGTTTCACAAAACAGCGTCTTGAGAACGCATGAGATCTTTTCGATGTAGTTTCTTACAAGGATGCCTGAGGTTTGCTTGTTTAGACCATATACCACAGTTTTATTATTTTATATTTTATGTCCCAGATGTTAGTTCTAAATGCCTATAATGTGAAATTACTGAAGTATGCTATCTTTCTACTGGAGTTTCGTATGCGTATTTTGTTTGGAAAACCTCATAGCATGGGAAATTGACACACGTTACATTGTTTGCAATGTTATTCATCTCCAGTTTAATGATTACCAGTTGTCCATTTCCAGACACTGTATGAATGAAATAAATAATGTAATATTTAATTACCTTGAGAAGCAGTTTGTGTATCACACTGAATGCCTTTGTCATTTTTGTTTGCCAATATTAAATCAACTTGTTTTTCTTTTGAAGTAACTGGACCTGAAATATAAATTAAATACAATATTAAACTGTAAACTAATTAAGAATAAATAGTAGTTAGGATTCATATTTTTATATGAAACCATACTCTTAGATGTATTTAGCAAAATAAAGAGACATAACAAATACCTTTTGACCTTATGAAGGGAATATAATCTTGGTAACCATTGTTCATTTCATTCTTTGAATCACACTCTTCTGTATTAATTTGTAATTCTTTGGGGCTATGATTTGAATAAAAGATGATAGATCCTGAAAATATAATTTCTTTGTCAGCTATGTATTATCCATGAAATAGATTCAAAAAGTAAATTGTTTTTCATATTTCATAGTTTTCAGTTACTGGTTTAATATCAGGTGTACTATTTTCAGTTAAATTATTACTATTGAATAATTTTTTATACATAAAATAATAAGAGTGCTACTGTGTTATTATAATTGTATCATGTTTTGTGTGTGTTTTAATGGCAGTAACACGTCATTTAGTTCATTGTCCATCAAAATTCTCCTGTTACATTCTTTGTAGCCTCAAGATAATTAAAAATGATTATCCGTGAAAGTTTGCGATAAATCTTTGTTAAAGAAAAATAATAGCTATTAACACACCTAGAAATGTTCGGCTCCACTACGCTCCGCCCTGCTTTTTAATTTGGGCGAGGCAGGAACAACACTGTAACTTCGTGGTATGTTCAACATTTTATCTGACACCATAACATATCATGATTTATGCGAAAATTTGCGACATTACTGCGCTAGTAAACAAAATAATTCTTTTCCTGCAGCACGTTACTACGATCTGGTGGGGTGATTCTTGCGTTATATCTATTTAAACAATATTCCCATACCGTGATTTGAGAAATGATGGATGCAAGTAATTCTCGTGAACCTATAGATACTTAAAGAAATTACGTTCTATGAAGTTGGCGCGTCAACTTCCAATGGCGACACCTTCAGATCGTCAGTAAAATATGATTTCCGGAGAAGAATTTCATTTCGTGGAATGCCGGGAAAATGAGGTTAATTTACCTAATATACATTTTAATCGCACTATTTATATAACAGTTAAAAATAATTTTACCAAAACTTACTTACTTTTATTCTAAATTGTTTGAATCTGATTTATACAAAACATCGCAAATTTTGTTTAATAAACATTAGACTTGCTATGAATAGAGTGGAATTTCATTTATGTTACTAAGGATATTAAAACCCGTTGCTAAGTTAATGTTAAATTCCTTTACATACAGGTAGGTACAAGTGCACTTAACAAACCTGTAAGATTGCATGTTAACCGGGGTTAAATACGTATGTGACTGATAAAATCTTTTAAATGTATGATTCTATGATTTTATCTCTATTATGTCACGTTTTCGAAAATTTTAAGAATTTTTCATATACGTTGTGCTACATTTTTATGTAATACTTTTATGTAATAATTTTATGTATGATTTCATAAAGACTATCAAATGAAATGATAAAGAGTGCTCATTGTAACAAGTCCGTTACGTTTTGTGGGACTGAAAATATCTCTTTCACTATTTCAAGTAACACCCTTTCGAAAGTAAAATTTAAATGATTGAAAATATAAAGAAAATGTGCATTATTTTACAACTTTACGCAAATGTCAGTTTTTGCAAAAACAAACAGTTATTCAGCAAAAAATTAATTTTCAATGTTAAAAAAAGTAACTGGCCGGTGTGTTAATGACTTTAGTAAAAGTGTTACACTTTTATACGTAATAGACGTAAATATACATATCGCACCTCCAATAGAAAAGTGACGTAAGTGCGAAATCGTCATTTTTCAGCTAAAAGCTGGTAAGAGGTTACCAAGAGGTACTGCTACTATTCTGAAGTTAATTTTGAATTAGTTCAATTACTGTCCGCTAGAAGGTGAATATTTGGTACAATCTATAACGAGTATTACTGAACTACGAAACTTAAAATTGCAATTTCTGAGAAATAAGAAATTCGCACTTATCACTTTTCTATTGGACGTGCGATATTGTATCAATATAAGACAGCCAGTCAAAAATTAGACTCCGATTTTTTCTACTTAAATAAAATTATTTAAATGAAAAAATAAATGAATTTGGCAGTTTTCCTCAAACCTACTACAATCCACAGCAATAGTAATTTTCTTCATCAACCTAGGGGCAGCACAGTAGTTGCAAAATGGCCGACATCAATGTTCGTAAGAGACGTCGTGTCATTGAATTTTGAAAGCAGAAGGTGAAATATGACAAATGAATTATGTCGCATTATCTCCCTCACTTCATCTGCAGTCACCCAGCGGTCATCGCGAATGATGTCATGCCTTGCTTGGAATGAACGCAGTCACCGACATGCCGATCAGCTCTTCGTCACCTAAGGGTTTTTTCCCCCTTGGCTTCGTTACAGCGACAAACCGATTGTCTAACTGTGGTGACATCCACTGTTGCATCACCGTACACATTTTCCCGTCTTTCCAGAATGCGAATGAGCATTTCACCTTCTGCATTGAAGAATTCAATCTCACAACGCGGTCTCTTACAAACATCGATGTCGGCCATTTTGCAAACAATGCTATGCAGCCACATATTGACGCAGAAAGTTACTATGGCGCAATGTAGAAGAAGGTTTGAGGAACAGTGCACAAGTCAATTTGTTCACTTATCTAATTTTGTATAAGTAGAAAATAGGAGGCAATTCTGACCTACGTACATGTGTATGAATTCTGTACACATCCGTAAAATGTTCAATAGGGCTACGTCGTTTCTATCAGATATTTAACATATTTTTTTTATTACGTGGCTACGGGACCCCTTTCAAATTTGGTGATGGCTATGGAGGTTATTGTCTAAGAATGTATTATGAATATCACAATGTATCTTTACGAATATGCGATTATGTTGTTGAGGAAATAATACTCCGTACTTCTACAGTAGTACTTTAATACTTCGTACACTAGTAATTTATCATAAATGTGTTCTGCTGGTCAGGATCATAACTTCTATTTCGATGTAAATGCGGATGTTGTGCATCTTTGTATATTTAATGCTCACCTTCATACATTGTAACATCTCTTTTCTCTGCCCAAAGAATTTTTCCACGAAATCTACAGATAGTACAACAACTCTTACACTTTTCTAAACTCTATCTAATAGGAAAACAAAAGTTAACTTACAAAATAGTGTAATTGGTGCAATGATGTATGGAATGGAAAGATGTTGCTCTCCTACATTGACCCGTTTTGGAACGAATATTATGAGAATTTATAAAACAATCAAACAAAAGAAATTTTGAGGGTCTGGTGTAATAAAGGAATATTAATATACTAAGATGAGAGAATATAGTCAGATTTTTGTAATCTGACTGATTTTTACACTCCCATTATATGGTAAGAGTGCCAAGGTAACAACATGAATGCCTACTTCATGGATGGATTTTTTGGCAAACCCAACAATGATCTAAGTAATTGTGGATGATAAAACACAGTAATTGTTAATGGATGCTTGAAGAAGAATGAAAGATAGATGAACAGGCATATCATGAAGACAACCCACGTTTGCATCAATAATTCAGAAGAAAAAGAGGAAATAACAGTATTATTTAAAATACCTGTTGAGTCCATTTTCATTAATGAACATTGGTTGCCTTTAGTCCTTTGGAATCTTGTTCCTGGGTCAGATTGAGTTTCCTTCTCTTTAGTTGTCCGTGCAGGACCTAGAATATTATAGTTTCAGTTGTACTTGTGAGGAAATACTTAATAACTTTTTGTTACAAATATTTTTTTACATCAAAAACAGTTAAAAACTGTGTGTGTCCTCCTACAGTCTGTGCACGTTTTCTTTATTCTGGGATCCCTAGCCTGAGCCATATCCATATTGAATAAAATCTATTTTCAAGGGCAAATCAGCTATCGATTTGGGCTCTTATCCCTCATTATGTCCTTAGAGAAGTAATAATATTTCTTGCTGAGACAAGGAGAACAAGAAATTGAATAATTATTTTTCCCACTGAATTCCAAAAGTCATGCACAGATAATGAAGTTACATTTATGTCCAGAAGCAAAACAAGGGGCCATCTCAGCAGTTGCTAAAAGGATCAAGGAAATTGGATCTGATCGAGATGGGGGTCATCCACCCAGAAGCTGAGGTTCAATACAATATGAGAATTAAAAAGGACATTTCTAAAGGTTGTGTGGTTCTCCTAATGAATTATATTTAGTTTCTTGCCATTTCCTTTTCTTTCAAAATATTAATAACATGACAGATAAAATATTTTTGTATTGTGTTGGCTGGTATATTGGCTTGCAGGAGCTTAATGCCATTATAATACTAGCAAAATTGTTCCCAGATCAACTTTTTTCTTTGAGCCTTAAAAATAAATAATTTTCCATTATAATTTGGTGCGAGGACAAGCTATTCTCTCTTTAAAAAAATGCTCAAATGTCTCGACTTGAGGCAAGCCATCCCACATTATATTAGAAGCTACTATTCAATATAATATTCTACTAATAAATTATTTGGGGGGAGAGGGTGATTTCATTTAGATGAGGTATTTGCCTTCATCTAAAAGGAGATAACAGACGGTATACTTTGAATATCCTATAACTCTCATAGCACTATCTCTAGAACACCAGATCAGATGAGGCTTCATTTATATAAAAATCACTTTTTCTACTCCCATTGTAAAATACTCTAATACACAGTGGCATGGGATAAATTATTGTGGCAGACCATCTGTTACAATATTATTTTACATTCTGTACATTAGTTCATATAAAAGGTTCTCTTTATCCACCTATAATTCCTCCTAACTGAAGTATCATCATCTTATCATAATTTGAAAACCATTGTAACAAGTAAAATTGAATGCATAACTATTACTACTTTGGAATTGTAGAATACTTGTTTCCACACACACCATTTCATTTGTTTCCACTGACTGCAACACTTTTATCTCCTATGTTGCCCATTTCTAGACACTGGTTGACAAAGGTAGTTACACAATTTCAAATACCATGGAAGTTTGGGAAGTGTTACCTTGAGAGGCTTTATCCTTTTTTTTCTTTGAAAATATAACGTTGCTGACGATTTTACGTTGCTGCTTACGTTGCTTAATTTGCGTTGCTGACGATTTTACTGGACCTACAGATTCAAATAAAATAAAAAGTTTCATTAAATATTTGTTAAGAATGAATTTCATGTTTCATAGAGACACTTTCCCTAAAGTGCATCAGAAAAATAGAGATAACAATACCTCCTGTAGAGATAAATGACATTTTGTCGTGCAGGTTATAAATTCCATTTGCGTTGGTTTGTGAATCACTGTTATCTGTGGTATTTTGTTTTTCTTCATTGGATTGTATCGAAATGGTTGTAATAGTGCCTGAAAATATAATTTCTTCGTTAAGTATTATTGTACAGAGAGAATAATAAGATGGTTGTTGTTAGTATTGTGCAGAGTATTTACCAATAGCTTCAATACTGCATTCCCTGTTTTCAATTATTTTGCAGTGTTTTATTTGAATGATTAATTATTTTGCGTTCTGGGACGCGTCATCTGCAATCATTAGTCCCGTAAATGTGGTACATATTAGGTCCCAGGTGGAGGCGGTGTTCTTCCCCCGCCAAGTCGTGAAATTCGGCGCCGATCTACAAGTCGGCGTATGAGATTTCTCCTTTCGTCCGCTGGCGGAGATGCCAGGTCCCAATCGAGACGAGCTCTAAGCTTCCAGGTGGTAGAATTTTCCAAGAGTGGGTGGGTGCGAGTGGTCAAGGATTAGAACGCCGTGACTCCTTTCTGAAGTATTGCTCGGAGGAACCATGAAAATTTCCTATCTTAACACACGGCCGCTAGAATTCTCCTCCAAACAGCAGCTGAAATCGGCCTAGTCATCTAGCCATTGTATAAAATCTGCCATTCTCGGGAGTCGATCCCTAGGACTTCCTAGTGTTTTGAAATTGAAAGGGGAAATTTTGATGTAAATTTTTCAAATAATTTCTTTGAAAATTCTGAATCACAATTTCTTCATTACATCTTTTAACAATTTTGAATTAGAAATGACAAGTGTTGAAGGATATTTTGAAAATGATACTATTAGGAAAAGTAATTATGTTAGTAGGGAAGTTGGAAATTCGAGGTAATTAAATTATTTTTATGAGTTTTTGTATTTCTCAGTAATAATGAAGATCGTCACTTAGGTTGTTCCTGAAATGATGAATGTTCAACTTTAGAGAGTTAGAGCAAAATTATATATGATCGTGCCCAACTTTGAATTTTATTATATCACTTTGATGGTCAGCTATCAGTGTTCGGTGGTAACCATAGACGCGGTAATGAAATTCGCCTATTCTCAACTGGATAGACTACAAACAGAGTATACTACACTTCTACCAACCGTGTATTAATCTAGGGAGATTGCTGTACCCCCGGTTTTAAAGTAATAAAGGACATGGGTAAAAGGAATGGTATATGAATGGAAACGAGACGCGAATTTTCTCTAACCAGCATTGATTCAAATGCACCGAAGGCCGCCAATGTGAGGTAAATGTTCACAATTAGGCGCGTGAGATGAAGCTTTTCGGGCAGCTTGTATTGAAGTCCTTTAATATTCTGGGTGGCTTTTCGTCGAATTGATGCTGGCCACCTGACTTCCCGTTCCCAAAAGGAGCTGGTGTTCGGGAGGTTTACGTGTTGGCGGGCATTTAGACAGGTTACATTGTTTTTGGGTGATGAATTTTTGAAGGAACGGTGGGGTAGATAGGTTAATTTGTTGTGGTGTATTGGATAAGAGTTACAAGAGAGAATTTTCGAGATTGAGCTTATTTGAGCACAAAATACATTAACGGTGGTCTTAACCAACTGCGATATATTATCTGAACTGTCTTGAAATAAACAAAGTTCTTTTTGTAACGAATCGATATACTTCCGGACTTCGCGATGCACTAGCAGAAACTCGCCAGAAGGCAAACAAATTGCGTCTTCGGATGGCCTGCATCGTTTCTGAAAAATATTATTTTCTGGAATTGAGGCAATTTTTGGTAATTAGAACTATGTTGTAAATGAATAATACAGCAAAATAAACCAGCCAGTTTCACGCTGTAACTCTGTGTTACTTTCTTTTGTATATCTGTACAAAAACAAAGTCAAAGAATTTTATGGAAATGCTATTCTTACATTCAAAACCTTTTATGATGTGTTCTGCAATCAGAACATGAAATATGAACG